GTTCTACACACCCGATCTTACCGTAAGCAGTTCTACACAAATCTGTGCCTCGCCCTTTTTGTTCGGACGCCTCAGTGTTCTAATAAAAATCTGACATTATTCAACACTTTGTTCTGGTTTGTGATTTGCTGCTGCAGCGGGATCATCTGTGAACAGGTACAGCGGAGGATCAGTTTCACCTTTCAGGTTTTACCCAACAACATTGCGCCGTGTTGTGCAGCACAAACAGCAGCAACAACAACCTCTGCGTAAATATATAAATATATAATATACATGTTTTCAACAGTTAATCCACAAAGCCAAGGCTCACACGTGAACAGATTATAATAAAAATATTATAATTTGGCTACTGTGCTTTATAGCATGTGTATTCAAATGAGGACCAAAACATTATAATACAACATGTTAGAAGATTTGTTGTTTTTGTTGGTTTTTCCCCACTAATGACGTGTAAAGTAAGCGACGGTCGTTTGTTTTTGAACAAAAAGAAATTGGACTTCCTTGTGTGTAACTTGTCTAATCTGCAAGGTTCTGCCACTTAGTCGAGGTTTTTGAATGAGAGGTGAAACATCTTCAAGAAATTACGTCCCGTTATCTTTTTATTCAAGCATTTAGGATTTGGCTCAGAATCTCCGCCAACAAATAATGCGCACCGTGCACCATGATTTGCCTACAGCTTAACAATGTTTTACTGAGATGGAGAATTTGTGTTTTAGAGAAAAGTAATTCATGAAAAGCTAAATTTGAAGTGAAGGACAAAGCCCCGACTGTGCTACTGCGCGTGGTCGTGCGTAATGGCGCTGCCGCACCTTCTGATTCTAACCAGGACCAAATTAAAGGCAGCCACAACTCCTCCTTGACTTATTCCTTATCCAGAATTATTTTAATGTCTTTCTTCAAGGTGGTGTTTTTGTTCCAGATTCAGTTTTAGAAAAAGGAACTGTTTGGCTTTATTGAAAAAACGCGCGCGTGCACCCATATGGAGAGACTGCTCCTAAAGCAGACTTCTATAGTTGAAATAACCCGTCTATTAAAGTAAAATGACTCATTTAAGCTATAAGATTAATCCGCACCATGTTTCCTTCATTTCCTATTCAAAGAATCATAACATGGCTTTCTTATAATAGAAGCGCTGCCTTGTGTAGTTGTGCTTGCAATGTGTTGCCGGAACGTGCAAAAATAATACTTGTAAATATTCAACAATAAACTAAATAATAAAACAGAAAACCCAGCCTTTCAGTTTCTTTTAGTGGCTTTCATTCTGAGGCATATTGTCTGTGCTGCATGTGGACGTTTCAAAGGAAATACCACGAGTTATTCATAAAGTCCCATGTGGTGGACAGATAGCACAGCTGAGACACAGTGTTGGGACAAAAATAATCTATATTCTGCTCCAGCTGCAGCAGGGGAGTCTCTGTCCGACATTAAGTGATATAAATAAAACGATCAAATAAAACACAGAAATGCTGGATCCTGTCCACATTTCAAGTCATATTTTTATATAAAAATGAGAATAATAAACATTTTCTGATCATCCCCGTTTTCCACACGCAGATCAGAAAGTCCCCGCGGGGACCAGCAGCTCCTAATTATACAAAGTATTTTTACCAGCCGTGATCATAATCACGATCCTTCAAATTTCAAACGAGTTGTTATCATTTTCTGCACCTAGCCTGTAATTAAAGAGCTAAACTGAAACATCACATACAAGGCGGCTAGAAAACTGTATATTTAAAGCTGTCATCATGTTAGGCCTAAAATGCACGTTTTCACTTGGAGTCTTGAGAGGATGGTTTAAAAATAAAATCGACACATAAGAATAAAAACAGCATGCCACTTTATATATATATATATATATA